ATTAGGTTCTTCTCCAGGGAGTCCTTCCTTCTCATTAGGTGGCCAAAGTATTTGAGTTTCATCTTCAGTATATGGCCTTCTAAAGAGCAGTCAGGGTTGATCTCCTCTAGGACTGACTGGTTTGATCATCTTGCAGTCCAAGGGACTCGCAGGAATCTTCTCCAGCACCACAATTCAAAGGCCTCAATTTTTTGGCACTCAACCTTCCTTATGGTCCAACTTTCACAACCATACATTGCAACTGGGAAAACCATGGCCTTGACTATACGCACTTTTGTTGGCAGGGTGATGTCTCTGCTCTTTAGTATGCTGTCTAGATTTGCCATAGCTTTCCTCTCAAGGAGCAAGCGTCTTTTAATTTTTTGGCTGCAGTCACTGTCTGCAGTGATCTTGGAGCCCAGGAAAATAAAATGTGTCACTACCTCCATTTCTTCCCCATCTATTTGCCAGGAAGTGAGAGGACCGGATGCCATGAACTTAGTTTTCTTAATGTTGAATTTCAAGCCAACTTTTGCACTTTACTCCTTCACCCGCATCAAGAGCCTCTTTAGTTCCTCTTCACTTTCTGCTATTAGACTGGTATCATCTGCATATCTGAGGTTGTTGATATTTCTCCCGGCAATCTTATTTCCAACTTGTGATTCATCCGGCCCTGCCTTTCTCTGCATATAAGTTAAAAAAGCAGTGTGACAATATACAGCCTTGTCGAACTCCTTTCTCAATTTTGAACCAATTGGTGGTTCTGTGTCCAGTTCTCACTGTTGCTTTTTGACCTGCATATAGGTTTCTCAAGAGACAAATAAGATGGTCTGGTACTCCCATCTCTTTAAGAACTTGCCACAATTTGTTGTGATTCACACAATCAAAGGCTTTTTGATATAAAATTTTGATGTAGCCTTTCCATTTGTTTTCTAACTGATAATGGCAGCTGTAGTGGTCATCCTGCAGACCTACGTGGCCTGAATCTGTCCAGCAAGTAGCTTTCTGCCATAGAAATGGAAGAGTTTATTTTATTCTAGTCAATTATTTTATTTTACTTAACATTTATATACCGCTCCATTCCCATAGGCTCTGAATTGAATGGCAACTTTTCTTATGTGAAAAGCTGAGTCTCAGAGCACTGAGCTATGAGTGGGACTGAAAGAGGAAGGAATGAAGAAGAAAGATGCTTTATAACTCTTCCCCAGAGGGCCCTGCAATATATTTAACCTTCCTGGCTGCCAGATTTAGATGCTTCAGTGCTCTATAATATATACATCAAAAAAGTAGGAGGAGATATATTCCTAAGTGTACAGGTACAAGATGAAAAATTATGTAATTTGTTTAGAAATAGTCAAGGTGCAACTGCAAAACAGCTGTGTAATTACCATTTAACCTAAGGTAGGTTATGTTGTGAATGCTATGAGAAACGCCAGCATGTTTTCTGTAGCAAATGTCAAATACATAAGTAAAACATGTGCACGTATTTGGCCATAAAGGTCTACATATACATACTTAAGAAATTTGTTCCAAACAAATGGTGCAAGACTACTTTTTCCTCTTAGAAAAGTTATGCTTTCAATGACATGTTCTTATTAAAATAATATTAAATAAAGAATAAAATTGACAGGACCAGACCAGCTGGTTGATATAAGGTCTAGAAAACTTCTGACCTGTACTGGAAAGCTGCTGCTATTAGGAGCCCAGGACAAACAGCCATTCCTTCTCCTCCCAAGCACAAAGCTCTTCCTCATCCTGCATTATCAAGCTACAAATACGCCCCTGTAGTTTGTCTCATTGTTATAAGTCTACATGTAGTCACGGAAGTTTTCATTCAAAACTGTTTCATTAATAAGAAAAAACAAGAGGGGTCAAGTGTCAGGTTAAATACTACAACAGGAAGTACAATGCTAAAACTATCCCAGAAGGATGGTTTTTGCACCTCTCTAAAAGGTTGAGCAACATCCGGTTAAAAAAAAAAGTCTTCCAATATTCAGACACTAAAGAGCACCAAAGGGTAGAATTATTCTTTACTTCCTTTTAAGTTTCTTGTTTCTCATAACAAATTCGTAATATTATATTTATTTACATTCCACCTATTCCCAGTACTGGGAGTCAAGGTGGTTTGCACATTAAAAAGTTACACAATTCAAATATTAAAAATGCACAAAAATTAAAATATAATTAAATCAGTTAGACTATTAAAATTATATAAAATACCAAAATTAAAATAGCAATAAAAAGAAGATAGACAATATAGTCAAACCCACAGCTCACAGGACCAACCTATTCCCAAAAGCCTCCAGAACAGAAAAGTTTTTGCCTGGCTCCAAAAGCAAAACAGGGAGGGAGCCAACTTAACTTCCCTGGGGAGTTCTAGAGCCTTAGGACAGTCATGGAGTAAGCCCTCTTTCATGTTCCCACCAAATATGCCTGTGAAAGAGCTGGGGCCAGGAGAGGGGCTTCCCCTGAAGATCTTAAAAAGTATGAACAGACCGTTAGAGAATACAGTCTTTCAGTCTAACCTGAGCCATTTAGGATTTTGTAGGTCATAACCAGCACTTTGAATTGTACCATGAAACAGACCTGGAGACAGTGAAACTGTTTCAGTAAAGGAGTTGTATGCTTCCTGTAGCCAGCTCCAATCAAACGGTCTAGCAGCAGCTTTCTGAACCAGCTGAAGTTTCAAAATATTCTTCAGAGGTAGACCCACTTATATGTTATGCTAATCCAAATGGAGACAACTAAGGCATGCATAACTGTGGCCAAATCAGACATTTTCAGGAAAGGGCACAGCTGGAACTCTATTTTTAACTATGTAAATATAGTCCTAGCCACTGCTGAAACCTGGACATCCAGGCTACAGAGCTGAATCCAGAACTACATGTAAGTTGTAGACCGGTGGCCTCAGGGAAAGTGTACCCCCATCCACTACAGGGTGGATTCCTATTCCTTGAGCACCTCCCATCTGACAGGAGCACTTCTGTTTTCTCTGGATTAAACTTCAGTGTTTGCCCTCATCCACTCAGACACTATTTAGTATCAAAACAGTTTCTTTGGAATTAGATGAAAAGAAGAAACATCATTGGATGTTATCAGCATATGGTGACACCAAACCCCAAAACTTCAGACTTTCCCCAACAGCTTCATATATATGTTAAGCAGTATGTGGGACAGGACAGGAACCTGAGGAATGTCACAGATGAATAGAAGTCCCCCAGCATCACCTACTCAGTCTGCCCCTCTGAGAAAGAATGGAGCCACTGTAGCCCAATACCTCCAATTCCCACCCAGCAACACACACATGGTCTGACTCCTGGTGCAGATCATCTACCAAGGTGACCAAAGCTGAACAATTCTGAAGCCAAACTGAAATGGATCTAGACACTCCATCTCATCCAGGAAAACCTGGAATTGAGAGGCTTCTACAAACTCTATACCTTGCCCAAAATTGGAATATTAGAGACTGTACAGTAATTACCCAATATAGTGGAATTCAGGGATATTAGATTAATATTCTAATCTACTGTTGTTCTCCTCTGAACTCTTGCCAGTTTGTCTGCTTCTTTCTTCAGTAACAACATAACCTGGAATAGTTCCACAAAGGACATGAACAAAGCCAAGCAAAAGGTTCTTACTACCTAAGTGATGATACCATGCTTCTGTTATTGTAACAGAAAACTGTATGCCTAAAGATAAATCAATAAATAAATGAACCTGTCAGTTTAACAAGTCTTTGCCATTTAAAAATAGGTTTGGCTGGGGTTGCTCTCCTCTAGCTTCCATCCACAATTAATCACCATTTTATATACCATCACTACAAAAACCCACATTTTTGTCAATTTAATCTACATGGCATCTTGTATTCCCTTCTACCCTCTTGTTTATATGAATAATTATGGGTATCCTCTTCTCAAAAAACCTGTGTTAATGTTGGGGACTTTAAAAAGAGAAAATACTCCAATTCTGAGATATCAAAGCCTCTCAAAATTCATATTCAGTGGTACTGAAAATATCCCTAAAATATGTTCTACATTAAAAACAATCACACCTATTCATAGTTGGTCACATATTTTAGACTCATTGAAAAATGCATCAACTGCACAATCCTATGCATGTTTAGGAGTAAAGGAATCTGACAGCTCCCTTGCCAGTATGGATGACTGGGGAATGCTGGGAATTTTAAAGCCTTTTCTGCCTAAACATCCATAGGATTGCATCCTAAGCCTGCAATCTTATGTACACTTACTTATGTAATAAACCCCATTGAACTAAATGGGACTTCTGAATAGACATGAAAACAATTGCACTCTAAAGCTGCAATCCTAAACATTCTAGGGAGTAAGCTTCTAGTAAACATTTGTAGGACTGCAGTGTAACCCTATAATTGTTTAGCAACTTACCTGGAAGTCCCATTAAACTCAGTGGTGCCTATTTCTAAGTAAACATGCATAAATTGTGCTATCAATGTGAATTTTTTTTTAATTCTACTGAACAAAAATGTTCTGTAATAGAGGGAGAACATTCCCCCCCCCTTAGTTAAAAAGAATATTTTGGCACATAAACATTTTCCCACTGCCAGCTATAATGTAGAAGTACACTTTCACAAAGTTTCTCCTTCCTACTTTGTCATTAAAATAGCTACAATTTTAAGATATTATAATCTTCTTTCATGATCATTAACAAAGTGTCATTCAGGCCCAAACCTGAAGGTCTATGTGCATTCTATATAAAGTGGGAGGAGTGGCAGAGGTCATCTCCACCCCTCTACCCCTTCAGGTCTGTACTTCAACGGTCTAGGTAGAATGCTTTGAAGGCAGAGCAATGGAAACTGTAGAAGATAAAGACATTGTACCCTATACTGTGCATTCTCTTTTCCTTCCCAGCCACCAGAACACCCTTGATCCTTTCTCCAAGGTAGAACTCCTAACCTGAGAAAGACAATCAGCATAGTTCTTCCATGTTAATTGCAAAGAGGGAGTGTGATCAGAGTGAAAATCCTCATCTCCAATGTCTGTTCCCATCTCAGATTTGGGGAGCCAAAATATCCTATTCCCACCCAGACAATGTGAAGGGATCATAGTATCATTCTTTTATATGATTAATTTCACTGTCATCGGAGCATTGTGTATTTGCAGCTATTTTGACCAGAGAAGGAAAGAACAAAACTCTTAAATACGATGCAAATATAAATCTGTAAATAGCTAAGATTCAGCCTTTGTTTTATATGCATGCTAACTAAACCTGTGCTCTTAACCTATAATGCTAATATAAATGTTATTGCTGTGTTTTGAAAATATTTTTGCTTCATGTCCAAGGCAACTACAACGCTACTCCATGATGGAAGGATGAAGGATAATAACCCAATGGCAGAGCATATGTTCTACATGCAGATACTCCCAAATGCAATCCCTAACATCTCCAGGTACAGCTAAAACACCACTGCCTGAAAACGCAGACATCTGCTGTCATCAGTGTTTACAATACTGGGTTAAACAGACCAAAGGTCAGACTCAGTTTAAGCCAACATTTTGAAAAGCAGCAATGACCATTTTCAGAACTAAGTAACCATGAGAAACAAAGTGGTAGGATGCTACAAAGCAGCACAAGCAATGGAAAATGGCAGGAGAGAGGGCAAAACTATCGGATAATTACTCTCACAGATTCTGGCTTGGGGCTATCAAATTAATAGGTTTCACTATTTGCAGGTTCTACTTTTTCATACAAGATAATATTTGCTATTTTTATTTACATATGCAAAGAATAAAAGAACTGCATTGCTAGGTGAAATCAAGAGACCTGTAACCCTGTATTCCATCTTCAACAGTGGCTAGTTAGATGGTCTGTTTGCTAGAAGAATCACTGGTTTGGTTGCAGGACAGAGGCATATCTGTACCTGCAGATGAAAATCAATTCAAGAACCTGTGTACCAGGTAAGATCTGGAAACTAGAAATGCACTGAGAAAAAGTAATCTCTGAGAAATTTTATTTGCACCCATCAGGTCTACAAAGCATTGCAAAACTTTTATTCCGTATTATTTGTAAGTAAAATGATTTACAAGCATTGCTATAGATATTGCAGGATTCGATCGGTTTTGTATTCAGTGCTCTGGTCATAGCCAAGCACATGAGGTCTTTGCTTAAACGGTTATCTTCTCAATTATTGTGCAGTTTCAGTTTGCATGGCAGGATATATTTCGGATCCTTAGTCTAAATAATATGTCTCTGCCCTCATCCGAAGTTGACTACAGCTGCCTTAGACCAAAATTAGTATGTTCCTAACCTCCCACAACTAGTAGCACCGCAAAACGTCCTAAGTCTCAAGGCACCTTCTGGCACTTAGGGGCGAACATAGCAACGGCGGGATCACTGCTAACCTATCCTTGATAATAGAGCGCGGCTATCCTTGCCTACTAGTAAGTCCCACGTTAATCAGTGGGACTTTATTCTAAGTAAGCGTGTGCGTGATTGCAGTCTTCGTTTCCCTCAAGAGGCAACAGCCGCACTTCCCCCCGCCCGTTCCAACTCACTTCTCAAGCCCACCCTTCCCCGTTTTTGGTGTGTCACAAATCGCTGTTTATTCTCCAGTAATGGATGGGGGGACTCCTTTACAAAAAGAACCTGAAAACATGAGAAAAAGAAGTAAAAGATCGGCCACACAAGCAACTACTTCATAACAAGCGTCAGAGAGGCTACAGGCTCCCTACAGAAAGACACACCTCAATTTCAGCAGCTTCACCTGCCCCCGTTTCCTCAGTACTTAAGTCGCGACAAGATGGCGACCGAGCGAATTTTCAAAGAAGGAAGAATGACGCTAGGATTTCCGAAGCCCATCCGAAACTACAACACCCAAGAATGAAAGGGCCGCCAAACTACATTCTTACTCCGCCCGGCACCCGTGTCCCAGAAGGCATTGTTCCCCACGAACGCCTTCTTCAGACTACACTTCCCAGCATGCCCGTAAACAATCTACACCATAAGGGAGGGAAGTGTGACAAGAACTTGGCGAATAGCTGCTGAGAGCAATGTCTGCGTTAAGATGGCGGCCGTAGGAACAGTATTACCCTGAGAGGAGGAGGAGAGAGGAAGAGGAGGAGGAAAAGAGGGATGAGCGCTCGCTCCGCGTTGTGGCTGTTTCGTATGGTTGGAACTACAGACGTGCGCTGAGGGGTGGGAGAAATTTCAGGAGTTGCCGTCCCGGCGGTGGCCAGAAGGGGAGGCTGCGAAGGTGGCTCAGACCGGGGCGACGGTAGCAATAGCGGCGGCACCCTAAGGAAAAGAGAGGTGTCAATTAGGTAGAGCGAGCTGCTGTGGTCTCCGTGTTTCGTTGCTTGGTGGTGAGCAGCTGAGGGACGCGTCTCCATGTCGGACAACCAAAGCTGGAATTCCTCGGGCTCCGAAGAGGATCCCGAGACCGAGTCCGGGCCGCCTGTTGAGCTCTGCGGAGTCCTCAGCAAGGTAAGGAGTTCGGGCCCCCATTCCTTCCCTCTGCCCACGGATTGACTGGTTGAGGGGGGAAAGATGGGATATCTATTTGTTGTATAGTGTCCGTCTCCTTCCTACACCGTCCGTGTAGTACTTGTGGGGGATTATTTTGGGCGGTGGGCGGCAGACGCAATCATGAGCTATTCTGTGCAAAAGAGGCTCTGGACAAGCCATGGTGGGAACCTGACGTCGAGTCACTCCATCTGCCCACCGCTCGGCTGGCGTCGGCGGCCTACGAGCCCGACCAGTGAATGGGAGATCCCCCGCTTGTGCCTTCTTCCCCGCCGCCCACTCAGCGAACGCGGTTTGGGGAAAATAAGCAGCGCCTTAATACTCCATTACCACCGCAGTCTGAATAGACAGGAATCGTTTTATCTGGGGAGGGATTACCTAAGCTTGAAAAGGAGGGATTCGTCTTTCGTGTCTTTTTCTTTCTCAGCAGAAGATAGTTGCCCTTCTTGTGAATGTCACTTTTTGTATTCCCTGGAGCCCACCCACCGCTACTCCCCCCCCCCCCGACGAACCCACCAAAATTCCCGGTTTGGGAGAGGGGGGCCCGCCCCTGTGGAGGGATGCCCCCGCCCCCCCACCCCCCCCCCCCCCCCCCCCCGCCTGCGCGGCGTTTATTTTTTGTTGGGGGTGGGGGTGCAAAGCAATTGGGGGGGGTTCCCCCCCCCCCCCCCACCCCTCTCTCTCTCTCGTGTCTGATGCGGAGAAGGAAAGATCAGTCCATTCATCAGGTTCTTCGGGAGAGCCTGGTAATCCTATCTGAGCTTTCACTTACAGGTATAGCTTGGCTGAGTAATGCTAAAGCTAACTTCATCTCGGGCTTGTGAAGGTTTTGTGTGTGAGTGTGTGTGGTTTTCTTTCTTTTTTTTTTCCTGAAGAAACAAAATCATGTGACGTGCACATGCAAGTATTAACACATAATTATAGGATCATACAGGAGTGGTCTGACCTCTGACCTAAACATCGAAACAGTACACTGAGTACAGCAAATAGGTTGGACAGTGTAGATGCAAGTAACTCGCTGTTAGAAGAAACAAGCTATATATGTTAGTAAAGGCCTTTAAAGCATCATTCTCTGTATGCTTCCTAATTTTTAGCTTGAAAGCTTGCTAGTCTTAAAACAACAACAAAACGTGTAAAGGCGGCTTTTAGCTAGTTAGGAAAGTTTGAAAAGAAAGGGATCAAGTTTCAATAGAATGCATACATTCTTTAGAAACATAGTGACAATTGTGCCTTTTCAAAGCAGTTGTACTCCTGGTTTTTATTTTTTTATTATTATAATACATCAAGTAAAAATCAGTAATCAGATGCTTAAATTAGTAAGCAGATGTTTAAATAAGAAAACAAATTATGACTGTGAAACCCATGTAGGTTGAACAATGTTGATGCATTGCTGAGGAAACAGAATGTAGTCTGTAAATTGCCAGTCATTCATTCCCTACTACAAGGTTGGCAAGGTACTGAACATTTGGATCAAATAATGAGAATATTGCACATGACAACCAAACAGAGAAAGTCTATTAGTTAACTCTAAATTTTCAGGTAAACATTATTTGTCTTAAGGAATTAGGAATCATTAGTGTAGCACAAATCTTATAATTCACTGCCATATTTCAATAAAAATTAGATCTTGTGGTGCTAAAGTCGAGTACAAGCTTACATCCATTCTGGTTATTCCCAGTGGCCTTAATCAAATACCTGATTTCTGCTTTAAAGATCAAGCAAAGGGTGCTCACCTACCTTGATCTTTGGACAGAACTGTAGTGCTGACAACTAGTGACTGTTGCCAGGAGTAGTCATGAGTGCATATAGTTTGTATGTAATGAAGATATCACTCAACATCCTTGGCAACTTTCTCATCTTAGGAACTATTAATATTTAGAGAACAAAGAAGCAAATCCCAAAGCACCTTCTATTTGGCAACATTTTGTGGTTTTCATTATTAGCCAACACATATTCTGTACTGTGTACCATTGTTTGAGTGTCTTGCTACTGAGCAATTAAATCCTGGTGGTTTATTAGAAAATGGGATATACGCCTGGTTTTTAAAGATTTCCTTTCCACTTTTTGAGCCAGTCTGATGCAGGATGCCTTTCCTGTTCTCATCCACGCAGGAACAAACTGAAGGAAATGTAATTGCGAAATTGTGGTATAGCCTGTTGCTTATAAATGTGCATTATGGTTTAGTTTTTAGAAGTTTTTAAACTAAATTTCACATTCAGATGAATTTATTAATTGTTGTTAAAATAATAATAAATGTGTAGAAAATATTTTAACAAATTATCTTTTACTCCAAAATTAAATGATTTATTTTAAAACAATCGCAAATGCTTGCAATGTATTTGTTAGGAAAAGTGTAAATTTTTCAGAAAGAGTTTTAAAGAGACCAAAAAACCCCCTTCAGTTAATTATTCTGGGCCAGGTCTACATAAGAATAAAAAATACCCTTTTGTATATTTATAATATTACTGTACAACCTGTGGCCCATCATATGTTTTGACCTACAATTTGTGTTATTCATCACTGTTGGCTATGCTGGCTAGGTCTGAAGAGAGTTGTATGCCAAAACAACTGGATGAGCACAATTGTCTGGCTGTAATTATAGAAAGTCAATTTAGATGGCAAAATACACAAATATTTATTACAGATGTACAGATATTATAACTAGAATTTTTTTTTGCAAAGAGGAACTCTCTGAATTTTCAATCTTCAAGGCTTTTAGAAAAAAAAATTTTCTTATGCAAGTATAATTTTATTTTTCGTCCATAAAATATTTAAGAAAAAACTTAGCAACTCTGATCCTCAGAGTTGTTCCATAAATTACTGAAAGCTAAGTTCTATTGGAAGCACAAACAGCTTCATTAAATGCTTTTAAACACTGATAAGAAATTAGACTGCATGTGTTCCATTGAGGGATGACCAATCATTTGTTGATCTTGTCTATTATCCTGATTCTCACTGGAGGCTACTCGATTGCCATTAAAGACTTAGGAACTCCTTTATGTGAACAAAGTAAGAATTAGTTGAAGGTGAATAGCTGTGAAGGTCACCTTTACATTGTGATTAATATGCTTGGGGCAATCATGGGGGCTGCCTGGAAAAGTGAAAAAACTCTCATATAACAGGTCAGATGTGGCATGTTTAGGTACTGCATTGTAAGCATATAAACATATATACTTCCAAAGCATAATATTTTTTTAAAAGTTACTTGCAAATTTGAAATTGGCCATTTTGATATTATAGCTATTATTGAAGTTTTAAATAAAACTTATGAAACACATATTTTCCCCATGTCATTAAATCTGCAGCCATTTTTATAAAATTAACTACTAGTAAACATTAGCTTAAAAAAATCACTGATCACAGTATGGGTTGCCTTCCAACCTTCTTTCTAGAATGTTTGTTTTGGTTAGTAAGAAGTTCATTTACTTGGGAAATAAGTTATTTTCTCCTTCCTCATGCAAATATTTATTTATTTATTTATTTATTAAAACATTTCTATGCAGCCCCTTGCCAAGGCCTCGGGGCGGCTTACAACATCGAGTATACATCAATATAGTGTTGGATCTTTCCATCATATGAATTCTTGGACATTTTCCTCCATGGTGAATATGTCCATTTCTTTAATGTGTGATTGGTTGGGTAGCTATGTTGGTTCACTGTGAGAAAATCCAAAATATCATAGCAATATAATTTTTCATTACATTACACAAAAATAGTTAGAATTCAAAATCTTTCCCACTAGTTTCCAACATTTTAGATAGTGCTAATGAACACATCACTTTTCTGTAGTTTATGGAAATTTATTGATACGGATTTCTTTTATATATGCCTGGACTTGTTATCACTCTTCGTACCTGTTCTGGATTCACTATGTTAATAATGGTTGACAAGAAGTACACTGGCTTTGTCTATTCATGTTTTTCATCCTCTTATAAATAGTTATTTTTGCCTTTGAATAGTGAAATATGCAGAGCTGAATATTGCATTATTGGAAATTAATCCAACTACATTTTCTGTTTTGTGATGTAAAACTTAAACTGGGCTATGTGTGTATGCATAAATCTCAGTAGTGATTATTTTTAGAGATTAAATAATTACATTTATCAATTTTGACCTTACTGCTCAGAGACATGGGATGTTTTTACATGAATTCATGGTCATGTAAATGAAGCACTTCTTTGTGTGAAAATCCATAATGGGAGAAAACAGTTCTTGAAAGCAATTGGTTTCAATTATTTTTACTGTTGTTTTCTTGAAAACTTTGTAGCACCTAATACTTATCACACAATTTTAGTTAGTATTAGTGCATGTGAAATAGTATTTTTCCATAATTTAATAAAATCAGGTACTAACAAAGGATATTTACTTGAGACCATGGAGTACTGCTATAACATTTATCACAAGGTGACTTTTTCACAGCAACCTACCTGGACAACTCTGTGGTTACTGAATCTGCAATGGATTGATGTCAGTGAAACCAAGGAGATGAATCCTGTTGTGAGCTGTGGGCAACAGCAACCTGCTTAGCAAGAGCAGCAAAAATCCATTGCTGCTGCTCTTGGTGAGCTTACTCTTACCGGCATCTGAAAACAAATTCATTTTGGGCTCAGGCAATGTCTGACCTCAATGTTTACAATTCTTTTCCTCCCCCCATGTACCATATGTACTGTGTACTGAAACACAATGATATTCCATGGATCTGATGAACCTAGTCATAGTTTACAAAAACTTGTGCCAAGATAAATTGATTGGTCTTCATGGTTCCACAAGGTTCTTTAGATTTTTCATAATGACCAGTTTGGATGGAAACAGTTCAGGCAGGAGAATAATCAAAGCAGCTGTCCTTCAGAGTCATTGGAGTTGTCCTGTTCAGTTTCACTTCCAAATTGATTAGTATACAGATATCTAAATATCCTATTAAAGGAGTTTTTTTGTTGATAGTACATAAATTAACTGTTGCCACTGCCCTACCTAGAGAGTCTGTATTTTATCGGACTTTATTTTATTTTATTTTTTATCACACACTGGTTGTAATACTAGATCAAGTTTCCTTGAAGTGAGCTCCAGTGAACTCATTGGGATGTAACTTTTCAGTAGTCATAAGGTCACACAGTAAATTACCAAACTTGTTCATGGTACCATTTTTCTCATTTTCATTATCAATATCTGTCACTTTTCTTTTCCCAGGGCAACAGTGGAAATTAGAAGGTTGTGTTGTGTCACTTGAATGCAGGGACCATCAGCCTTCTAGAAAGTTGTTACAATGCTTTAATGGTCTTTCTCCTGAAGTTAAGGCAATGTTACCTTAACTGTTACCAAAGTATTTTACATAGCTGAGGCTCTGTCATCCCTAAAGTTTTCTTACTCTAGGTGGTTGCATGACTTGCTTCAATAGTTTTAGGATGCAGGTGACACAGTGGTTTAAACTGCTGTGCTGGTTGATCAAAAGGTCACTGGTTTGAATCTACACAACGGGGTGAGTTCCCGTTGCTCCATCCCAGCTCCTGTCAACCTTGCAGTTCAAAAGCATGCAAATACAAGTAGATAAAAAGGTACCACTCCAGTGGGAAGGTAACAGCATCCCGTGCACTTCAGTGTTTAGTCATGCTGGCCACATGACCATGGAGACTGTCTGTGGACAAACACTGACTCCCTCAACTAGGAAATGGAGATGAGCACCACCCCCTAGAGTCAGACATGACTGGACTTTAATGTCATGGGGATACTTTTACCTTTTTAAGTGTGATATAGCTAAGCACTTCTCACCTTTTCCTGCAAAGTTGTAACACAACTTTGATAGATTCTGCTCCATTTAGGAATCCTCAGATTTTGCTTGGGTTTCATACCTGACTGTTATTTCTTGTTAACACTAACTACCCTGTTCCCTTTTTGCGTAATCTTTGTTTTCTTTCACCTTCATCAACTACATGTACAGCTTCATTCTAATGCTGAGCTTTCCCTTCCAACTCATACTCAGCCCCCATAGATATATAACGATTACAACCACATGAGCAATCATTAGTGGTATGTTAGAAACTGTATTAACCTCAGGCAGCTAAATACCTTTTGCCCATTTCAAGAAACTGCAGGTGGGATTTTTCCAATGGGCTTTACACATGTGCACTGTCACAGGACCCACAAGTAGCCAATATGATGCAGTCATCCATCTTTTATGACTATCAAGAGTGGTGGTGATGGTAGCAAGAGTGGAAGTGTTTCTTCCATTTCATTGTTTATTGTTCCAGCTAGTAATCCAGAAAGGATTTGTGAAGTCCTGGTGCTGTGGACTCATATGCGAGAAGTGAGCATGTCACTTCAGGCTGTGGAACTAGTCTGAATCCAGTGAGTTTTCTTGTCCAAATTATGTATGTATAAAATTAATTTTATAAATAAGAATGCAGTAGTATCAGTAATATTGCTGTTGAACCCAAGATTAAGCATACGACTGGAGATGTTAAATATTACAATAATTATATATTCAGTTGTCATACATTAGGGGTGTTTTAATAGATTGCAAAGCACTCTACATATAAAAAGTTGTTTTATAGGAGATCATAGTTTAGCCTTACCTAATTGTACTCTGACCAAGTGAAACATGAAACTTACTCAGCATAAATGGTTTGCATTAGTATATATTTCAGTTATACATACGCTTTTTATTGTGATACTTTGCTTTCACAGTGGTTAACATTTGTAAAAGAATAAGAGATGGAAGAGTAATGGATTAGGGAATAGTGTTTTTGTAATAAAACTGTCTGTGCTCTGGCAGATGATCTTTAAAATGTTTGTTCAAAGTCCTCTTTTTCTGATCATGTGGTATATATTGCTTGTGAGCTATTAATTTCCTTATGATAAGGGTTTGCAGACTTGCTGGCTTTAAAAACTGTGTTAGAGTATGATAGGAAGACAGTGTGTGTGTGTGTGTCAGAGTCCAGAGTCTCTATTTGATGGTATATTATGTGACTTAATTACCTGTAATTCATTGTCAATTGCGGCAGATTTGCTACCTCTGATTTGGTATGGTTGTGATGCTTACTAGTTGATCTAATTATTTTGAGTTGTTATAAACATCTCTCTTGGGCATTAGCCTTTCACATTCAGCTGTATTCAGTGTTGCCATTCAATTGTCTTTTCCCCCCAAAAAGTCACTTTGACTTTTCTGCAATCATTTTTAAACTTTACAATTTGGAAATCTTTTTGAGTGGAGGTACGGAATATAACAATTATTTTATTATCTTTCTGTATTGCCCAATATGTGAAGTTCCCTGGATAGTTCACAGTTCAAAACAACAAAACTATAAAATATAAGATAAAATGCAATAGAAACAAAAGTTTAAATTATAGTATAAAAATCACAGCCAAATAGAACTGAATTGCAGTGCCCAGATTTAAAATGCCATACCAAACTGAAAAACTAGAACAGGTAGGAAAATAAAGGTCTCTACCTGGCATCGAAAAGAACACAACTTGTGCGGAGCCTACACTCTCTTATATTACATAGACAAGTTTATGAAAAATGTGGAAGATGTGGATGTAAAACAAACTAAGAAAACTATATCCAGCCTATCCTGAAGAAGGCCTCCCTGGACCCAGAGGTGGCCACCAATTTTAGACCGGTGGCCAATATTCCATTTTTGGGCAAGATGTTAGAGTGGGTGGTGGCGGGACAACTCCAGGCACTCTTGGATGACCCATACCTAGATGCATTTCAGTCCGGCTTCAGACCCGGTTATAGTACTGAATCTGCCTTGGTCGCCCTGTATGATGACCTGTGCAGGGAGAGGGACGGGGGAATGCATCCCTGTTGGTTCTCCTGGACCTCTCAGCAGCTTTCGATACCATCAACCATGGTATCCTTCTGGATAGGCTGGCCGACTTAGGAGTAGGAGGCACTGCATGGTGGTGGTTCCAGTCCTACCTGACCAGCCGATTCCAGATGGTGGTGCTGGGGGACCATAGCTCTGTGCCATGGCAGCTTTGCTGTGGGGTTCCGCAGGGCTCTATTTTGTCCCCCATGCTATTTAACATCTACATGAAACCACTGGGAGAGGTCATCAGGAGGTTTGGGCTGTGGAGTCATTAGTATGCTGATGATACCCAGCTCTACCTCTCATTTACATCTTCTCCATGTAAGGCAGTGGCTGTACTGAACCAGTGCCTGGCCGAGGTAATGGGCTGGATGAGGGCAAATAAACTGAGCCTCAATCCAGATAAGACAGAAGTCCTGTTGGTGGGTGGTGCGGGTTTCCAGGTAGGTGATTTTGACCCTGTCCTGGACAGGGTAGCACTCCCTCTAAAGGACAGAGTTTGCAGCTTGGGAGTACTCCTTGATCCAGGGCTGTCACTAGAAATCCAGGTGGCGGCGGTGACAAGGAGTGCTTTCCTACAACTTTGACTGGTTCATCAGCTGCGTCCTTACCTGGATGAGCACTCCCTAGCAACAGCGATACATGCTCTGGTAACCTCCTGCTTGGATTACTGTAATGTACTCCACGTGGGGCTGCCCTTGAAAATGGTCCGGATACTTCAACTGGTACAGAATAGATCTGCCAGACTGCTGAGAGGGACCAGCCATTACTCTCACATGATGCCGGTCCTCTATCAGCTCCTCTGGCTTCCAGTTGAAGTCTGGGCCCAATTCAAGGTGCCAGTCTTGACCTATAAAGCCCTGATTTATTTGATGTTTTTAATTGTTTTACACAGTATTACTATCTTAATTTGTTATTGGATGTTTTACATTCAATTTAAATTTAAATGGCTGTAAGCCATCTTGAGATATTTATATAAATGACGGCATACAAAAGTTTTAAATAAATAAACAAATATATGCCAACTTTATTTTGCAAATATAGTGCCACTGAATCGTATGATCATTATTTTGGAGCATGTTTTAATGAAATGTACGCATTTGTATTCTCTAGTGGACCAATTACATCCATGGGTGGCAGGACCGATGGGTGGTCTTGAAGAACAACACTCTAAGTTATTACAAGTCTGAAGATGAAACAGAATATGGCTGCAGGGGCTCAATTTGTCTAAGTAAAGCTGTCATTACAGTAAGTGCTATCTTAAAATTTCTTGTTACACCAATGTTTTTATCTATTTGGGGACACTAATATGGTCAAAGCTGAATAATTTTAATCTTGTGTCGGATAGCATGACTGAGAAAGCATGGCATAAGAACTGTGAATATTTTTAACTGACCACACAAAGGTAACTCTTCCTTGCACATGGAAATTGTTGAATGATAAAAGATTCTCAGAAGATAGCTATGTTTTTGATAATTATTGTAAAATTGCTAGGTCAAAAGATTAATATTTAAACCTGAGAGAGAATCATGCTTGAAACCAGACTTCTGCTATATTTGTTGGAGCACTTGCCATTATTGGAAGGAACTCCCTGATGTTAAAAGGTGGCTTTTCTCCCTGGCATCAGGAACACTGCACCAAAAACAAACAAGCTCTACCTTGCATGTGTTTCTCACATGTGTATCAACTCTGTTGAGCCTGACCTGGCCAAGGGCATTTTTAAAACAACATTTGCTAAAGACATTTGCACCTTGATCTTTACTAACAGCAACATGAGACCAATGTTGTACTGTGGGTGCTCCCATGTAGAACTGCTGATAATCAGGAAGCAATCTTGTATTCAGGTGGATCATGTGGTTTCTTCATATTCCAATATTTCTTTGCCTTGGCATCTACAAGTAACAACTATGCAACCTTGACTCTTTTCTTTGCTGGTAATAAAAGAATGTGTCATAATGTAGTCATGCTCAATCTCTGTACATACATTTTCTATATAATTTCAGTTGAATCAGAATTGAAAGACAAGATACTAACAAAAAGTGTTCAAAGATATCCTTCATATGATTAACACCTAATGTAAATACAGAAGGTAGCAGTAGAATTAAGAGTCTTGCCATTTCATGTGCAACTGGATATTTACAAACCTTGATGTTGATGTACTTTATACAAATGGTAGTTATGATAGCAGATGCAGTCTTTCATTTTCTGCTTTTTTTTTAAAGTCATTTTGAAAATAGCCAGTATAGTCAGATGCGTAGAAAGATTTTCTAAACTTGCTTGTTCTTCTTTTGAGCCCTTGACAGAGTTTGTATGATTGTGGGAAGGAAAAGAAACCATGGTGGCTTCATTTCCCCAAACTGCTTCTGGGGGTTGTGTGTCACCTCATTTTCATAATTGCCTGTGGCGGACACCAGTTGCAATGTTATCCAACCTTGGTTGGACTGGCTTCAAGATCACCCAAGAACCTTAGAATAAGCCATGGGTTTAGAAGCCACTCCCATCAGGCATCCTGCTGTGTTTGGATGAACAGCAACTTGTGCACAACACAAGTAATTACGGAAATGGGGCATACTGGCACATGCAGGCTGGGGAACAGAAATCATAATTGCTTTTTCTTCCCTGATTATGTGAAGTTGGGCAATGTTTCAAAAGAGGTTTGTGCTGGCTGCAAACTCCTTCTAAATTATCAAATAATGTAAATTATCTGACTAAATTTGTCATTTTCAAACTGTCTTAAAAACAATGGAAAACTAAAAGTAGCATAACTATTAAAATTTCTTTAGCACTAAAGTTCATCAAGTATCAGAAATGCTTAATGAACTCTGTCAAGATCTGCCATGGGTTCTTTTTCTTCCCAATCATGCAAACCCTGTCATTATAAACACTAAACTGTGAACAAATAAAGGTTTCTGATCTCCATTCCATGACCTGATTTTTAGGGGGGGTTTTGGGTGGGGGGAGATTATTTAGAGAACGCTTGGCAACTATTGTCATGCTGAAAGCTGAGAGGAAATGTAGGGGGAAGCAGTAAAATCTTTGTATAAACACATCACACATTGAATTGCGCTACTCATTGCAGCAAAGACATAGGTTTGCTTTCTCTGTAGAATTTTCCCATCCTACAAATTTTGTCTGGCAAATAATTGCTTTGAAGTTTTTAAAATAAAAATATAGACTAAACTTTTATTAATGAGTTAATAATCTCAGTTTACCATGTTCCAACTGAGAGTTTCTCAGTTGTCTCCCATCCTACAGTCAAGCAGTTCCTCCAGGGTACTCATAATGTAGCACCACTCATGAGACTGTCCATGCTCTGTTGGAGCTTCTCAGTTGTGTTAAAAGCAGGAAACAGGGAAGCATTCAAACCTACAGACCACAGACATTCAGTTGCTCTCTTTTTGGTCACTGTCACTGTGGGTCACTGCATTGTGAAACTCTGCCTTGAGAATGGACCCTCCTTATCTGATTTTTCCATAGGGACAAGGTTGTTGTTCAGCCAGACATTTCTATCCTACCTATGGTTGTGTCCAATTTTCACCTCAGCCAGGGCATTGTTCTGCCCACTTTTTTCTCTTCCCCCACTACACCACTGGAGACAGCCTTGTATACCTTTGTCAGTCATACACTCACATTTAATTAAGGAAGTTCAGAGTAATTTTGGAAGTCACCAAGGGTTTTCATTTGCTTTAGAAGATACCAACAAATCTCTGTCATTATGGGTCAGGCAAACAGTACTTCTGCCTTAAACACTCAGGATTACAATGCAAATGTCTTATGTACTCATTCTAGATGAGAAATAGCTATGCCAACAACATTTGCTCAAGGTGCCTTGCTGCCAGACCTGTGGCATGCAACTACATGGTCAAAACCCTGCACCTTCATTAGGCGCTCTCACTTGGTTGAGAAATTCTCTGTATTACTTCAATAAGGACACCAACTCACTTCTATTAAGTCAGCTGATTAGTCGCTCATATGTGTAATGCACAGAGATCATGAAGAAGACAGCTTACCTGTAACTATAGTATTTTGAGTTGCTGTCTGAGCTTTCACACAACCCAGCTGCTATCCCCACTTCAGTTGTCCAACGGAGAGAAGCTCAGGGAACCAAGGTTCCATTTAGATGCCAGAAAGTACTTCCTGACAGTTAGGACCCTGAGGGTATGGAATGGGCTTCCACGGGCCCCATTGGTGAGGGTGTTTAAGGATAGGCTAGACATGCACATGGTGGGCATGTCGCTAGAGGAACCGGCTGGAGCCAGGAGTTAGACTAGATGGCCTGGGAGGCCCCTTCTGACTCGCTCTGTATCTATGTTTCTATGTTTTTCCCAGGCTGCATAGAGAGCACTGGTGCCAATTCCAGTACTAACACTCTCTTGGTTCTGAGGCCCTGATTGACAGTCTCAGTGTGAACTGAAGGAATAGTCAAGTCTCAGCTGGCAATATGTGAGGGAAGATGGGTTCCCACTCTAAAGTTCTCAACTATGGAAGATTCCTGAATTGCACAGGCACGGAGCCCATATGTACAAATACACAGATGGCCACTTACTGAAGATAAGCAAGCTGTCTTTGTACAGTTAGGCAAACTCATATCAGTATTGTGATATATCTGGGGATATGGATAGCTGGATATCTGGAGGTGGCTTGTAGGTACCATATTTTTCCATCTATAAGATGCCGCCATGTATAGGACGCCCCCCCCACCCACTTTTCCTACTGATCTCTGAGCGAGCAAACTGCTGCCGCACCCACACTCGCCATTGCCCCCCCCCCCACATGGTTCTCCTCTTGGCCCCACTTGTATAAGTTGCCCCTCTATTTTTAGGTGAGTGTTTTTAAGAAAAAGTATCATCTTATACATGGAAAAATACAGTATTTATATTTCTACAGATGGATAGGAGACAGGAAAAGACTTGGCAGGCTATATGGTCCACAGTGGAGGAAACAAGATAGTCCAGATGGATTAAAAACAGAAGATGGAAACTAAAGTATAGGCAAGCAGATTACTCAAGATAATAAAACTAGTGAGTTAATTTACAGAGTAACATAGCACTGTATTCAAAGTTAGTAATAATCAGGGTTGTTAACAGCACTAGCACTAATGGTGTCTCACTAGCCTAAACCAATGCTTGCTCAATTTAAATATTAAGACACATAAATATCTGTTAAATACTATAGCACAATGGGTGAAAGTGGCAACTTGCCACCAAAATTGGGTGACAAGGTAGCAAAAAGCAGTGTTTTTTTCTTCAAAATGCAACTTGAAATTGTCACCTTTTTCAAGGTCAAAATGTCATGTTTTCCCATTGCAATGGTTACATTGTGCAAGCTTTGCTTGATGCTAGCACAGTATCATTGATGCTAGCACAGGAACAATACTGGATACTGCCAGTATACTGCCCATCATAGGTATATTTCACTTTATAAAGCCAGTGCAATGTATTGTATTTACACCATTTTGCCTGCAAGCTATCTCTAATTTAGCAGCTAGAGGAGGGGAAGGGTTTTTTGTTGGTGCTCTTAACGCATTTGGTGTCATAAATCTACAAATCGGGATTTACCTTCTGCCCACTAATGTTTTACAGGGGCCCTTTCTCAGTTGCTTTTCTTAGGGAAATTATGTATTTACATAGGAAGAGCCTTTTCTGTGGTGGTGCCATGACTTTGGAATGCCCAAATAACTATAATTTGCACTGCCATTGTAATCTTTTTTCAGGTTGGATCCTGATCGGCTAGACTAACTGCTATGATGAAAGTAGAATTCCCTGCCCTGTGTTTCCCATGGCAGCTACTCCCATACCTTGAACACAAAGGGCAATTTGCATGTTCTTGTTGTGGCATGTGCTGGCAGCTAGTTTGAATACAGTATTAAACCTCTAGTAGGGGGTTGTCATGGTTTACTGTATCAGGCAACTTATCTGGTAGAGTTTTTCTGAAGTTTAAACAACTCTCAAATAACCCTACCACAGAATGCAAGTTGAATTTTCAAACAAGCTGCCCAATTATGCAACAACCCACCATGACCTAAATAAGCCAGTGTGGGGTATGTTGATTTTGCAAACCCACCTGGGAGATTGTGCTGAATGGGCTGAGCTATGGTTGTGTCCGGGGAAGAGAGGATCCCAAAAACTGGGCAGGGGAACCTTCCTGTGAGTGGAGTACTTCTGCTCAAGAAAGGCCCTAACTCTGATGGAAAACAGATCCTGGATTAAACCATTTAGATTTACTATGTTATTTAAATGATAATGTTG